TAATTCGATAGCTTTAATAATCTCAAGGCCCTCCCCTTTGTTTTCTATTACTTTTGTCAATATCATTAGCTTTTCATTGATAATTAAGGACAATCTTAATCATATGTAATTCATAAATTACGGCTAATAATAACAATATAAGCATAGATTTTTTCTAGGGAAAACTTGGCCGCGAAGCTCATGGTATGCATTACATTTCAGACATATCAAAGTCGAAAGGAGCTAGCTTGTCTTGTTCTTTTTCCTCATGCAGTGTTCAGTGTCATCATAACCGATCTAGTTCTTTTCTTTTCTTCTTCTTCTTCCCCCTTTTTTTTTTTTTCTCTTTTTTTCCTTTTATATTTGGGACAGGGGAATTCAAACCGAGATTTTTTTCATTGATATTATGAAGAATTGTTGGGTGGGTGTATTATTGAAGGAGGGTCCAAATAGGCTTTCTTATTATTAGATGGTAACAAATTAGTATTTGCATCACATGATCCTAGTTTAACATTAAATTAGATGATTATGTATTAAAATATTATTTTTTATATCAAATTATATTTTATAAAATAAAAGATAATCTATTCTATCATTTAATCTCTTTTTCTCAATCTTAAAATTTAAATTTCAAATTTCAAATTTAAAATATCAAAGTATAAGATTATTATTCCTATTTACTTTTTTTTTTTTTTTCATCCGGTATTCGAGGTTTCACCATGATTAATCCAAATCGACCTGCGTCGCGCACCTAAAAATGGTGGATGAGTCTTTCAATGAAAGCTGTTGCGTACATAAAATCTCAAACTCGATACATTACTTAAGTTGAAATAAACCAATACCACTTAATCCAATCCCGTTAGTTCCTGTCTACTATTGAAACTTGAAAATTTTATTGTGCTTTTATACATTAATGCTATAATAGCTAGTAGATTCCTTTCATTTCATAATCTTCTTTTCATAACAGTTTAGGAGAGAGAATAGGAACAAAGGGAGGGTACAAAAAAAGAGAGCAGAAAAGAGTGGATGAGCAACAGGTGAAAGAAGCAATGAACCGTTTTAAAAGCAGAAAAAGGAAAAAGTTTGAAACACAGCCCCCTAAATGCCAGGTAAAGAAAAGTGGGGAAAATGGTTTAATAAGTAAATTACCATTTTGCTCCTCACTATCTAATCCAGAGGGAAGTTACAGGAGGAAATTGAAGGGTA